CGAGATCCAGGCAGTTCACTTCAGGGGACAGCTTTGGGACCAAATTATCCTTATTATGCAAATTTCCTCCCCAAGCGGCCGGCCTCCAGTTGTGCCTGGGGACCGCGGGGCCGCATCTGCTTCCCGTCCTGCGACCCCTGAAGCCACAGCCCACCTGCTGGGCCGGGACAGCACCCCGCTGCCAGGGAGGGGGCGCGGGCGGCCTGTGCTGAGAGAGTGGGGGGCCCAGGGGAGACATCACACAGGGATCCTGCCTTGTTCCTGTCCTTGGCTTTGCCAAAAAGCGGAAAAAGCGAGGGGACTTCACACTGAGGTTTTCACCTTCCTCCTTAGGAAAATACAGCCCAGAACTTGGCATGTTTTGAAGCATCTGGTCCCAGCTGAGGCCTGAGGTCCGGGCTGCACCGAGTTCCCCATTTCCTTCCTGCCAGCATCAGGCTCAGGGGTACCCAGCCCATCACGCCTCTTGCATCTCCCTCCCCATGCCCCCCGCCAACTGTCAGGGCCAGGGTCCCGATCTCAGCTACTTTACTGGGCCTGCTTTCCGGCCTCTCCTTCGTGGAGGGGGTTTGGGTGCCAGGCTCAGCGGGCTTCCCTCCTGTCTGGGACCATCGCCCTCTTCTCTGTGGGAACAGAGCTCTCCACCTCGCTCTGCCCTCAGGCGCCTCCTGGGTCCATCCTGCTCTCTCACTCCTGACCACCTGACTCTCAGACTCTGACCTGTCTTCACGGCTGACCCATTCTTGTCATCCAGTGCCTTCCGTTATACAAGACCCAGCTTCCCCGCTCAATCCCTCCGCCCAGCCCACGCTGCCCCTGCCCCGCACTAACCGCTCACACAGGGCCTGAGATTGGGGGCCAGCACCTCACAGGTGCTCCGCATGCAATCATCTCAATCATCTTCTGCAGACAATTGTATGCGCACATGTCTACTGACCTGCATCTCAGCCTGTGCATTGCTGTCACAAATGCCAGACACCGGGTGGCCTGTGAACAACAGAAGTTCATTTCCCGAAGTTCCGGAAGCTGCAAGTCTTGAACTCAGGGCCAGGCGAGGCCGCCCTCCAGGTGGTGCATTTCTCCCTGTCCTCACAGGAGACGGTGAGGGAGCTTCTTGAAGCCTGTGTATTAGGACACCAATCCCAGCAGGTGGCGCTAGTGGCAAAGAACCCACCTGCCAACGCAGGAGACCTGAGACGTGGGTTCCATCCCTGGATTGGGAAGATGCCCTGGAGGAGGCCATGGGAACATACTCCAGGATTCTTGCCTGGAGAATCCCATGGATAGAGGAGTCTGGTGGGCTGCAGTCCACGGGGTCTTGAAGAGTCAGACACGACTGAAGCGGCTGAGTACGCAGCAATGGCACCACGAGGACTCCATCCTGCTGACTCAGTCACCTGCCAAACGCCCACCTCCAAATACCTTTGGGAGGCAGGACTTCCACATATGATTTCTGGGGAGACACAAACATTCAGACCATAGCAAGCACCTACTATGTGCCAGGTAACTCTCCTTAACAGTGAGGATATGGCAGGAAAAAACCCTGCTCCTGGGGACCACAGCCCAGTGAGAGAGTCAAGTTCTCTGTAGCCCCGCTGCCGGCAGGTTATGCCTCCCCGCCAGGCCTCCGGCCTGCTCTTCATTACGCCAGTCTCTTCTCTGCCTCCAGTGGCCCCCCGCCCCTGCATCTCCCCTCCTCACTCTCCTCCGGCTGCAGGAACTGAGCTTTCCTGGGCTCTGCTGCAGGATGAGGTCTGCTCCCCCTCCCTTTCCTGCAGGGGAAGGGCCCAGCCCCTTCAGGAGGTGCCTGAGTTTAAGTCCCACCTGCATCCAGCAGGGCAAGTCTGCCTGGGGTCAGCAAGCCCACCGTGGTCAGCCGCCGAAGCTGGTTCCTCTAATCCAGCTTTTACAGGTAGCACAGCTAGTAGTTCGGTTTTCCACGCTCTGACTCTTGTCATGGCAAACCCACTCCAGTATTCTTGCCTGGAGAATCCCATGGACAGAGGAGCCTGGCAGGCTACAGGCCATAAGATCGCAGAGTCGGACACGACTGAAGTGACTTAGCACACGTGCACGAGTTGTTTTAAATTTAAGAGGGGAAGAGAGAGACGTTATTCATTTTGAATAATTATTCGTTTCATTAATAATTAGCTATTAAGTTTCTTCCTCTGTCAAAAAAGAGAGGGAGGTGGCTGGGCTGGAGGAGAGGGTTAAGGTTGGATCTGCCTTGATGGGGGCCAGGTGGGTGGGGTCAGCTTCTCTGGACTTGAGGAACTGGTCCCATATAAGGCAGGTGGGCTCCACCCAGACCTCCTGCTCCAGAAAGGTCAGGAGTGGGTCTCTGGAAACTCCACTTCTGAGAACCAGCCAGGTGATTCTCAGCTGCATTTGAGAACCAGGGTCATGGGGAATTTCTGGATGCCCCAGGGCGTGGGGAAGGTGGTGTGGGTGAGGGAATCTGGAGGTGGTCTTGAGCTGGGAGCTGGGAATTTGGGTTAATGCTGGGAGAGGCCAATGGGAGGATGGGAGCTTGGCCATGAGGCAGAAGTACTATTCTAGGAGCCGAGGGGCTCCATCTCCCCCTCGTCAGAGAGCAAGGGCCAGGCTCTTGGGGAAGGCAGAGAGGATCCAAGCTGTGTCAGCAGCACCTGAGGTTCAGCCCTGCCTGGTGGCTGTGCTGGGCTGCTCTCTGGGTTCTGGTGCAGAGAAAGACCAGCAGGGTTCAGAGTGATGCCTTGGCTTCTGAGCAGGAGGGAACTCCTGCGTCGGTGGTCTGAGCACTTCTTCCAAGTCTTGTACTGATTGCCCAGCTCCTAGATGCCTGTTTCGAGCCCTGCCCAGGATTTGGAGTTGAGAGGCTGAGCATGTGAAAAAAAAGAGGCTTTTGACAACAGCCGAGCGATCTTGTTCCTTAGAGTGTGCATACTTTCAGTGAAAATGCAGAACTACACCAAGGAATCACAAAACCTCCAAGATGTTTTATTTTGATAGAAAATATGGCCAATTAACTGGAAATGGAGTCAGAAATCGTTGGCGTCTGAGCCCCCAGTCATGATGTCTAGCTCCTCAGATTTCACGCTAATATGTTAAACACAGCATGTTTTGTAAATTTACAGCACTCATCAGGAACAGAATTGGATGAGCAGCTGTCTTCAGGAAGGTTAAAAAACTGCACCCAGGAAACCGCCAGAGCTGCCCCAGGAACAGCAGAGAGGGAGCTGTCCAGAACATGCCAGGCTGTTCCAGGTATGCAGGGGACAGTGGTTGTGTGACAACGGCAGCCACCCCTCACTTCCTTCACTCGGCATCTTCCAGGCCCTCTGTGCAGGCGACCGGGCTCTTTGAACCTTGGTGCATCCACCTGGAAGCAGGTGCAGTCCTCCTGGGGCTGACCAGGCAGAGTGTTCCTGAGCCTTACCCCTCCCAGGCGTGAATGTGAGTTGTTCTGCTCCTCACCATCACCCCATGAGGGAAACACCCTCCAGGGCCCACTTCCCAGAGTGGGGCTCACCAGGTTGGGCACATGGGGTGGGTGCACCCCCGACTCACTGAGGGCTTGCAAGGGGACCAGAGGAAGCTTAATGGCTTACAGCATCAAAAAGATGCTGAGGATAATCATTCTTAGCATGATTTCAATAATATAAAAGGTAGTGAAAACCAAGAAGTGAAGTCTATCATCCACGGAATGCTCTTGAAGTGAGGGTTTGAAACTCCACCCTCACTTGTTACCACGTCCTGGGTTCCAGGATGGATTGCTCCTCAACCCCTTCCCAAGCTCAGTCGATGAGCTTGAGAGATGAGGGCAGGCCACTGCCCTCCTCAGATCCCTTCTAGTTGAATGTTGGTCGTTTAGTCATGTCTGACTCTCTGCGACCCCATGGACTGTAGCCCACCAGGCTCCTCTGTCTGTGGAATTCTTCAGGAAAGAATACTGGACTGGGTTGCCATTTCCTTCTCCAAGGGATCTTCCCGACCTAGGGATTGAACCCAGGTCTCCCGTGTTGCAGGCAGATTCTTTACCATCTATCTGAGTCACCAAAGAAGCCCAGTTCTAGACACACTCATTATCCCTGGTAAGGTGCACACAAACGTTTGGTTCCTCACTCTCACAGTCAGGGCCCACCCTCCCCGCCCACCACCGCCACTTTGGAGTACCTTAAATTGAGCCTAGGTCGTTTCCGAGTTAATGCCAACACCCTTCATCTCTTGAACCCGTGACCACTGAGAAAGGACAGGATGTAACTGTGAAACTGGATCTGGCAATAGTTGTGTCATCACCTCTAAGCCACGCGTTCATTCGGCACAGTAACTTAAGGTTGCCGAAAACGTCTTTGAAGGATACTGCCCCAGCCACTGACACTTACGAAAAGCCCCTAATGCCAGAGCCTGATGTGCAACAGGACAGTCTGTGAATTTCATTCAAGTTTCACCCCATTTGGATCAAACGTTGAACCGTGTAAATTTGATCACTTCATCTTATTTACTAGATTTGAGCCCACACAGTGTTTGGCTGGTTCTCCCAAAGGGCCGAGTGTCTCAAGCAGTGCAGGTCTGTGGCAGACAGAGTTGAGACTCCCCAGCCCTGCGCCCCCTGCCCTAAACGTGCAGCTCAGCAGGGGGAGTGCCCCCAGGGTGGTCACTGCGGTCAGCCCCCACCTCTGTGCTCCCTCCGGCTGCCCATCGCTGCGCATGGCATTAAGCACTGCCCTAAGAAGAGCTGGAGAACCTGTGTTATATTGCCCACGACCTCCACTCACCCTCCAACTCACAAGTACCCCAAGGCCAGCACAGCTTCAGTGGGAGGTGCTCAGCACGCCGAAGTGAACCGATGCGCTGGCAGAAGCGGCAAACGCGAATGATCACATATGACCCCACCCTGTCCTGCACCCGCCCCCAGGCCCAGCTCCTCCTCCGTGACCCGGAGGGAGTCTGCAGCAGGTGGCCGGTCTGTGGGGCGATTCTCTCAAGACCAGCGTGGGCTTCACATCATGGGGCAGACAGAGTATTCATTGCATTTATTAGTTCTATCACCACAGAGTAAGCATTTGGAAATGTGTACAAAAGGATACTCTATTCCTCCAAGGGCATACCCCTTGTTCACAGCAAAACAGAAATAATTTAACATCATCATAGAGGCAGATTGGAAATACAACTGCATTTTCTCATTTACAGTCCTGTACAAGTATTTGCCAGATTGGCAGCTGCACACCTAAAGATGCATTAGATAGACACACATAAATTGAACCCTGAACAGTCACCACATACAACATTGTAAAAAAGTGTGTTAGAAAGTACTGGAAACAAGATTGCATATTCATCTCTGGTCACACTTGTTCACAGTGAATGCTATCGCACCAACATCATATGTGCTTTTTTTTCTTTCAATTTCTGATGTCTGTATATCTTAAATAAGTCTAATTTTGGTTTCTTTTAAAGTAAAAAAAAAACAACAACAACACTAAACTGAAGGAGAGAGATCTGGATTCTGAGTAGCGCTGCCCCTTCATTATTGCTGGAACATAAGTGCACGAGAGAAATAGATTTATTTCACGACTGGTCTACAGAAGTCCATGGCATCTTACTTTTGTTTTGGCAAGAAGATGATGCTAAGAAAGTCCCACTGAAAACAAAACAAGAAAAAGCACAAAAATAGAAAAGAAAAAAAAAAAGAACTCTCATCGCATTGAGAGATAGCTGTCTTTCTTGATGTAGAGTCTGAGATCTCATTTTTGGTTGATTCTGAACTGGAAGTGAAACGTGCTGGTATCTGAAATGCTAGGTGCTGGGACACGCCCTTGGGTGACAGAGCAAGAGTAACGCGATTCTTTTTAATGTCTCTTCTACAAGGACAAGCCCACGCTCTAAGATAGTGATGCAGGAAGACCTGGGTGAGGAGAAAGGTCCAGGTGTTCTGAGTGGAAGGGAGCTGGGTGACTGGGATGGGCCGGAATGCCAAACAGGGAGTTCTCATGATCAATGGAATCCACCTGCTCCTGGTGCCCCTCCTTTGGTTGATATTTATTTTCAACACAACGAGAGTGCATGAAACCTACTGTATCCACAGTGGTCCCCGAGACACACACTCATATCTTCAAACAGCTGAACAAACCACAGAGTGAAACGGGGTAAGGTCATGCAAAACACTACTTTTACCAGCTAGAAGGAAAATGTCAACAGCTTTGGGTACAGAACATGGTCACCTTTCAAGCATAATTTCATTACTTGTTGGCATTAATGAAACCTTACTTTAAATACAATAGTTTCAGAGAAAAAGGGTGTTACATATAGAAAACCACAACAAAAGGTGTGTAAATAAGGTTATATTGGTTACAAAAGGTGGAGAGAGGGAGGGGAAAACAACTCCTCAGCCACTATGTACAGTGGTGGGTTGAGGTCTGTTTGAAGCCACAGGGGAAAAGATCACTCTGTTCAGCCGATGGACCCTGTCTGCAAACTGGACAAGTAAGCAGCCTCTTACCCTGAATATACGCGTTCAAGGGGATAAGGTGGGTCTTTCTTTGTAACTTCACATTGAACTAGTGCTGCCCACAGCCCAGAGTCCCCCTCTGCCCCTCACCCAGTGCCTCAGTCTGTCACTGACCAAGTCACTACAACTGTGTCCATTTCCAGGTTCAAAACATCACACAGTTCCGTAAGCAAAGAACCCCATGACTCAAGGACGCTAGGCTGCCACCCTTTCCACAAAACTCAAGTGCACCTGGGAAGGTAAGCTTCTGAAGACTGAAGGTGGAATAGTTCATTGAGAGAATTAAAATGAACCCAAAGGAACAGGAGTCACGCTCGACACTGCTGACTGGGGACATTCATGGCAGGGCTTTCATCTCTGGAAGGCTTCCAGACCCTTGATTGGTTTACAATTCAATTAGAGCAGTGGTTCTCCACTAGGGACACCGTTTTCTTCCCAGGGGCATTTCTGGTTGTCAACTGGGGGGTCCTACATGCATTTATTGGGTAAGTGACCAGTGAAGTGATAGTCACTCAGTCATGTCCAACTCTTTGTGACCACATAGGCTGTAGCCCACCAGGCTCCTCTGTCCATGGGATTGTCCAGGCAAGAATACTGGAGTGGATTGCCAATTCCTCCTCCAGGGGATCTTCCCAACTCAGGGGTTGACCTCATGCTGTTAAACAGCCTCTAATGCCTGGGGAAATCCCCTGCAACACAGTATCCAGCCCCAAATGTCAAGAGTGCTGAGCCCAGGATCTCTCGAGTTAGCTGAAAAGCAGAGATGCCTGTGCATAATTTTTGCTGTTTCCTTATGGTCAGCTTGGACATTTTTGGTGATGAAAAATACTGGAGACATTTGCAACTGTATGCCCTTCCTGCTAGGTGGTTGAGATGAATGTCCTTAATGACAGCATGAACCTCTCCTATTGCTTTCCAGGTTAGGACCGGAACCCGTGGGCATCTTTGTGGGCCTTTGAGGGCACTAGCGGGTCTCACCCCCCGGGCCACCTCCCTCTGTCCAGCTGGACCTGGAGTTGTGGTCACGAGATGATCCTGAACACTCCCCCAGTCAGAAAGGTGCATCCTGCCTAGGTGGACGCAAGGGTGCAGCTCTGTCCTTAGAGGAGAGAGTGTCAGGTGGCTGGAAAGTGTGGTTTCAAACAAACAGGTGCTGTGTGTAAGCAGTAGCTTCTGGGCTCCACCTGCCACATTCCCTTGACCTGAAAATGGTCATTCTGAATCCTTCAGTGGGTATTAAAATGGGAACACTAGTGCTCACTTCGGCAGCACATATACTAAAATGGGAACACTATACACAGAAGGCAGGGAAAGAAATGCACCCACAACAAGAAACCCATGCTTGGAGCTACAAACACAACATTAAATGAAGTTCAGGACAGACTTTCTGCAAGAAACAGGCTTCTGGTCACAGGCAGAACCCGGCAGGAAGGAGGACAGAACCAGACGTGAGTGTGGAATTCAGAATAAAGGTTTGGTTTCTGAGGGGTTTTATCATCTGAGCGTTTCAAAAGGAACTAAGGTCTAAATTTCAGGGCCGGTGTTAACAATGTAGTGATAGACTCTGGGGGCCCTTAGGAGATGACAGAGCAGAGGACAATGGGCCAGGTGCCCCACGGAAATAGAGTTCATTCCATGGGACAACAGGCCAGTCCTCTGGAGGCTTATGGGCTGGGCAATGTCATGACAAAGTTTGGGAAAGGAGAATGAATCCAAAAGGCTCTCCAAGCCCTCCCCTCCCTCTGCCCAACAGTCATTTTCCCCAGCAGTGTGCAGAATTTGACTTAGAATAATATCTTCCTTTGGAACCTGTGGCCTGTCGGTGCTGGATGCACACAGTTTCTGGCGCTGCAATGAGGGCATTTCAGCCCAGGGTCACGGTCACGGCCACAGCGCAGGGGCTGTGCGCCCGGTTCCCGGGACCCTGCAAACCCCATCTGGTGCGCGAAACCACGCTCAGCATGGAACCAACTCATTCCTTCCCGGGCTTCCGCTTGTTTCTATACAATTCTCTCTGAACATGACCTATCACTTGGAGGCCGGCGATTTCTAGGAAGCAACAGGGGAGGGGATTTCAGCCTGCGGTCTACAGAATCGTCTAGTAAGAGAGCACTCCGAGGGCTCCAAATGGAACCCCGCATCTAACAAGAAAAACGTCCTGTTCTCAAAAGCAAATCAACCAACTCAGAACAAAACGAAGTACCACCTAGAGGACAAAGCACAGCGGTCCAGTCCAGCCCCGGCTGCCCGCCCAGGGGCGCGTGCAGGGCGCGGATGCTCTTCCTGCGGGCTCGCGCAGTCCGGCTTTAGCTCATGTGGAAGCGGTGCTCCCCGCGCGTGATGTGGGACGAGAACTCGTAGCGGTCCTGGCTGTGGTAGCCGCACATGTTGCACTCGAAGGGGTCTCGGAAGCCGTGGCAGCCCATGTGGATGGTGTACATGACGTGGTCCAGGAAGAGCACGCGGCAGTGTTCACACCTGTACACCTTGAGGGCTTCCCCGCTCGTGCCGATCACGCGCAGCGCGTCCGGGGGCCCCTCGGAGGCCGCGCGCAGCACGTCGTAGGCCGCGTGCTCCTCCTTGATGGACAGGCCATTGCGCGCGTGGGGGGCGACGTGGTTGGTCAGGTAGATGAGGCCGCCCCGCTGCTCCTCCGCGTTGCTCTCCGTGTCCGTGGAGTCTTGGCAGCTGTTGCTCGGGGACGCCTCTCGCTCCGAGGACGCGGACTTGGCCTTGGAGAGCAGCAGCAGGTTCTCCACAGCGCCGTCCTGGGCTGAGTGGCTGGAGCGCGCGGGGCCCTCGGCGTGCGGCTTGTGGAGCTGGTACATGGGGCTGAGCACCGGGACCACGTCGGAGCTGCCGGGGGGTGTCTGCACCAGGGGGCGCAGGGACTCAGCCCCCAGGTAGCTGATGGCGTTGTTGATGGCCTGGTCTATCACATGTGTCTGCATCATCTCGTTCTCCTTCTCGTAGCTGGCACTGCCGTCGTAGGGCAGTTCCGGCAGGCACTTGTCCCCTGTGGGAAGCGGTGACAGTCAGTGAGGCCCAGGTTACCTCTGTGCCTGGCGGCAACAGCTGACATCTACACCAGTGGGGGCAACGATCTCGGGCAGACACACAAGGCGGACATCAGCAAAATAGGGCAAAGCTGACAAGTCTCTGCCTGCCCTGTACCTGGCATGGCGCCCTGCCCGGGGTTGGCATTTAAACCAATTTGTCTACACAAATCAATAAACGAACAGGCGAACCAAGGATGGCGTGCCAACTTAAACAGCATATATTCAAACACTAAACCAATACTTATGTTTACTCTGGGTGTTAATAAACATTTTGAATGTGCTGAGTGTCCTAAGTCACTTCAGTCATGTCCGAGTCTTTGCGACCCTATGGACTGTAGACTGCTAGCATCCTCTGTCCATGGGATTCTCCAGGCAAGAATACTGGAGTGCATTGCATGCCCTCTTCCAGGGGATCTTCCCAACCCAGGGACTGAACTCATTTCTCTTATGTCTTCTGCATTGGCAAGGCGGGTTCTTTACCACTAGCGCCACCTGGGAAGTGCTAAAGATTTTTATATTTAATTTAAAATTAATATTGAAATGATATGTTTTCATATAGAGTTCTAAGTAATTCATAATGGCTAGTTAACATCACTAATTTATTTAATTCAAGCAATTATATGATTATAACAATGTGTGATATGTCATATATTTTAAGTTCATAACTATAGTACTGTAGAATAAAGCTTAATCAAAAATACAGAAACTTTATATTCTTCATAGTGAAATGGTATCAGTCTTGTCAACAACAAAAACCCAGCTCTGACTTGCGTGAGTGAAAAGCACCATCAGATATATCAGCCTCCACATCTTCCCTGGCCTCTAATTCCACACCTGCTTCTCAGCTCTTAGCAGCAAGGAACCTACGCTGCAATTGTTTGGTGAAAAGTTGGTAGAAAGTTGAGAGCAGCCTGAGCAGGCTCCAGGGGTGACATTTACTTGTTCCTTCAAGCAATTACTGAGCAGGAAGGATTTGTAAGAAATTACTGTCAATGACTCGTCGGCGAGTTTGGCCTCAAGAAGCCTAAGATCTAACATCATGGTTGGTAGGAGGCAGAGAGCCCGCTTCCCCTGAAAGGGGACATTTGAGAAAAGGTTTGACTTCTTGTAATTAGCTTTTGAGTACAAGTTTTCATAATGCAATAAAATGAAGATCCTTGAAGATAACACCTTCTTGATGTACAGGTTCTAAGCTCAGTAGGAAACCTCGGCTTAATTAGCAAATTCATGAGTGAACTGTCTGCCTGATTGTTAAGGTCTATTGATTCACTTATTTCAGTGGTGGTTAGTTAACAAGTCGTGGGAGGAGGGGCATTCAGAGGCTGGTCTGAGCTGTTTACCTTTCAACCCTCACTCTGTTTCTCTCCTTCTCTCAACACATCTCCACGGAGTGTCCACCCTGGACCAGACAGGAGGGACAGAATGGCAAAAAAGGAACATCCTTCACAGCCCACAGGGGAGACAGATACTACTGCATGGTCATACACGGCGCATCCCTGTCTGAGAAGTTCTGTGAAGGAAAAGGAAGGTTTGCTGTGGGGACTTAGTTCTGCTTTCTAGTATGATGAGGCCTATTTCTGGACAGTTAATGTCACAGATTTTTTAAGGATCATTAATAAGCCTGGGAACCATGGAGCAGTTCATCCTCCAGCTGCTAAGCACCAGCTGCAGACCGTGATGTGTGTCCCACACCGGGAGCAGCAGGAGGAAAGGGGGGGAGAGGGCGCTAGGAGGCTGGGATGGACGGCGGAGGGGAGCCAGCGCCCCGAGCAGATGGACGGGAAGGGTAGACCCGGGGAAGACCATGCCAACGGAAGCTGGAAGGCTCTGCAGGAAGAAGGGCCCTCTCCATCGCGTGTGTGCATGCGTGCTAGGTGGCTTCAGTCGAGTGTGCAACCTCATGGACTGGAGCGCCTCAGGCTCCTCTGTTTACGGGGATTCTCCAGGAAAGAATACTGGAGTGGGCTGCTGAGCCCTCCTCGAGGGGACCTTCCCAAACCAGGGATTGAATCTCTTTTGTCTCCTGCGTTGGCAGCTGGGTTCCGTACCGCTCATGCCACCTGGGCAGCCCTACCAGTGGAAGGCAAAAGTGAGGATGCCTCTGGCTGCCCAAGGGTCCAGGTGATGGCTGACGGTGGCTGGTAAGCCCGATCACGGTGGAGACCCCCACACCTTCCACACCGACACTGACGTCATGGCCTGCAGCCAGTTCCAGCAACAGAAGGTTAAACTGCTCCATAGTTCCTAGACGTATTAACAACCCTTCAGCAATCTGAGACCACTGATAACTATCCAGCAGTGTGCTGCATCAGACTAAAAAGCATCTCGCATCAGACTAGAAAGCATCCTTAGGCCCTGCTTCTTGCTTTGTTGGGATGTGTATCGTACATTGGCCTGGCTCCCTTTCATCTTGATCTGCTGGTAGTCAGGAGTGACACGTGCCCTGACAATGGTACCACGTGACCCTTACATGACACGGAAACTTGTCCATGGCCAGCCACACCCTCTGCAGAACCAGGACGTATCGGAATCTCTATGGAAGTTTGGTGGCAGGGACCACAGAAGTGGTGTTTCTCCCCATTTAAGGTAACTGAACAGCAGTTCAGAAGTCATGTGATTTCCCTCTCCCCCCCATTTTTGTATCAAGGTGATAAATGTCTGGTGACATTAACCCCAGAAGAGAATGAGTCCCTTTTGCCTGGTCTATCCCTCCATTAAAGCCTGGCAGGGTGGGGAAGGGAGTGGGCTTCAGGACAATTCTGATACAATTCTGACACATATAAAGTGCTTATAGCTCCACCCAAAATGGTGCTTTCCCACCTAATGATCCTGTTTCCCCCAGAGTCATGGTTCTGTGCTTTCCTAAGCAACTTTTTTTTTTTTAAACTGGGTATCAACAATAAAAGGATGTAGGGGGGAAAAAACCTATATATATTTCAGACCCATGTGGCATATTGAAACCACCCACAGAATTTCTCTTCCCTTAATCTTCCACAGAGTGAGAAAATCCCACAACATTCACTTTGGCAGAATGCTAAAGAAAGGTACATAGTCCAAGGAAATACATACTTATAAAAATCAAGGAAAGAAAATTCTGGCATGAGATACATGGCTAGGCTTGACAGCTGATTTCACTTATAAAACCTTAAGTATGAAGCAGCAAAATCCTCAGCAGTTTCCCTAACATCCTCATATCCACAGAGAATCAATTCAAATAGCAGTCTTTTTTCACTTCTGATCAAAAAGCAGTTGAAACCTCTCCTAATGAGACCAGGTGACACTGGATGAGGGAGTGCTGAGGCTGATTCACTGGGTGGGAGGTGGGCGTGAGTCCTGTGAGGAAACACCCCAGGGGCCAGCACATCCTCTGGCAGCTGGGAACACTTCCCAACCAGGGACAGTGGTCACTGGTTCAGGGCGTTTAACCAAATCTCAGAACAAGGGAGAGGGAGAGAGGGCAGAGAGGAAGTCTTTTAACAAAGATTGTACTTGGCCTTCCTTGAACTCCAACCTCATGCCTGGCATTCCTTCAGGACTGAGAAAAGCTGAGCTCTCACAGAAAACAAACAAACAAACAAAAACACATCTCAGATACAATGGGAAGAACATAGCAAACATCAGTCAAGCTCTATCAGCCCAAGTCAAATAAGCAAGATGAAAAGAAAAGGTTATGGTTACCGTGAATATATTTTCTAACAAGACAAGGGAAGAAAGGAAGTACAACAGACCAATAAGCCCATCCTCGGAAAAAGCCTAATTCAAGGAAGAGAAGAATGTCTCATGCTTTGTGACATGAATTCAATTAAAAAGATACTGAACCATGGCAGGCTAGAACAATACAATAAGATGAAAAAGGAGATTTTAGATCCCAGGAAACAAAATGAGGTCCAAACAGTGTTATTTATAGATAATACAGGGATTAGAAATAGCAAGTAATAGAACATAATCTCTTGAAAATGGAATCATTGACCTAGAGGAAAAATGCAGGATAGTAACAGTGAATAAATGTGAAAAGGGCAAGAACAAGCAAATGAACAAACAAAAAAACTTGGAGAAATGCTAACCGATATGGAAAACAAACTCTTCAATAAAAGGACAACTGGTATCTCTGAACAGAGATCATAACAGATGGAACAAAAGACATATTCATAAAAAAAGAGAATTTCCAAGAAATAAAAGAGAAAAGAAGGGAATCCCCAGATTAAAATGTCAGGAAATTTTTATTCAGAATGCAAAACACCAAGACACAACCTAGTTGTATTGAACTTTTAGATTAAAGAAAAAACTCTTCAGGCACTCAGACAGAAAATGGAAATCTTGCCTTCAGTCATGATGGCAAAATCTAGAAAGTTCTAGACTGGGGGAACAAAGACAGTGACCAACCTCCCTCGTCATAATGTTCTTCAAGAAGAAAGGCAGCAGGCAGACCTCCTCAAACACAGACACGATTATGGAAACACAGCACCTACAGAAGCTTCTTGAAAACAGCTGCTTGCAGGCAAAGTCCAATCAATTAAGAGATCATTCAAAATAAACGGAAATAGTAGTAAGGGTCTTCCCCAGGGGCTCAATGGGGAAGAATCTGCCTGCAATACAGGAGACACAGGAGGTGCAGGTTTGGTCCTGGGTCGGGAAGATCCCCTGGAGAAGGAAACGGCAACCCCCTCCAGTACTCTCGCCTGGAGAATCCCATGGACAGAGGAGCCTGGCGGCTACAGCCCATGGGGCTGTGGAGAGTCGGACACGACTGAGCGACCAAGCAGGACAGCAGGAGGGCTGGGTCTGAGCCTCTCCTGGGCGAAAACTGGGAGCGCTTTCAGCCCACCGCTGGGCCAGCTTGCACAGTGACAGCTGGGTTCCCGCACACTCCTTCTGAAATCATTTAAGAAGATAAACTTAGCTTCTAGAGGTAAAGAGAGGTCTTGGAGGTCCATTTCCTTTTAGATTTTTGGTTTGGAGAAACCATGACAAGGGAGGAGTGGTTGATGAAAACCCCATCAAGCTGATGTGGGGGTAAGAGGCGTTATCCTAGAAATAAACTGCCAGTCACCACAGTCCTGGGGCAACAGCTACAGCGTGCACGGCTGGTTCTGAGCCCACTCCTCCTGTGTGGGCTACGTCTCCCCAGGGATTGCGTTTAACCTTAGTTTTGCTTGATCAGAGAGAGGGGTTCTGTTTTTTGTTTTTTTTGTTCTTTATATATATATATATATATATTTTTTTTTTTTAACACAAAAATATCTAAATCTCAATACAACACCTAAACTGTGCTCTCGCTGGAGGTAGCACAGTGGAGTTTCACAGATGGTAATTTGGTCTGAAGTCTCCATCAGCCACAGGGGTTGAAACACCCATTCACAAAGCCCTTGTTTGGCATCCTGTGGCTCAGCTGGTAAAGAATCTGCCTGCAATGCGGGAGACCTGGGTTCGATCCCTGGGTTGGGAAGATCCCCTGGAGAAGGAAAAGGCTACCCACTCCAGTATTCTGGCCTGGGGAATTCCAGGGACAATATAGTCCATGGGATTGCAAAGAGTTGGACATGACTGAGCAACTTTTCTTCTTTGGCATCCTCCAGTTTTCTGTTCTGAAGAAGGAAGTGGTACCCAGCTCCCCAGGGCCCATGACGGCCCAACAATCCTCAGACACACTTGCTGCTCCATCTTCCCCGGTTACAAGGGCCCCCATCCCCCCTCTACCACACGCGGCCTCCCAGGAGGGGTGGGGAGCCCTGCTCTCAGTCCCACCTGGTGCTGCTTGAAATTCCACCCCCAGAAGTCAGTTCTCTGAGTCACCTCACCCCACTTGTGCTCAGGAAGTGAGAGGCCTCCTCATTTCTCACAGTCTAAAGGCTCACACTCATGTGGGTGACTCCCCACACTGTGTCTCCAGCCAGTGGTTTGCAAGAGTGCTTCTTGACTGAACCCTTCCTCCCGTCACCCTTCCCAACTCCAGGCCTATGACAAACCTCTACTTAAAACATGATCAAAATGGAGCCTTTTCTTCAGTGTCAGAGAGAGGCTGGAACCCGAGAGCCTGGCCTTCCCTGGGTCCTGTCCCCTCCTGCAGGTCAGCACCCAGCCCAGGCCTCACTGACTACTGACCCCATACGAGAGCTGTCCTCTCTCCTAACACACATTCCCCAGGTTCCCACGGGGCGTCATTCAGAAAGTCCTTCGAAACAGACAGACCAAACCCAGACTGTCAATTCCCAGAACCTGTCGATGGCGCCCGTGTCCCCGAGGCCCCATGACTTGCGGTCTCCCTCACCCGAGTGTTCCCCACCTTCCTCTTTCACCAGCCTCTCCCCTGTACCTTCCTCTTTCCAGGCCACCACGGCCCCCTGTCCTCCCATTTCCAATCAATTGTTGGCACCAGAGGTCTCTATTTTCCAAGAGGTGCCTCCAGTTAAAGACATGCCAGTGCTCTCTCCTGCCTGCGGGGTTAAGGCTCCATTTCTCGCCTTGGCCTTCGAAGGCCATTCACCTGTGACCAGAGCTGCCTGGGGCTTTGCTGATCAGGGGGTTCCTCGAGGGTCCATGACGCACCCTGAAATCTGCCCTGCTTCTCGAGCCTGCCCACACGTCCCCCTCAAGTCCCCAGCCAGCATCACCACTGATCTGCATTTGTTCTGATCTGCCCAGAAGCCTGCTTCATTCTTCCACTGTCAAGAGTGTGTGGAGATCCTCCTCCTACCTTAAAGTCACTGTCAACTTCACAAGCCTTTACTGATCCGTTCCCCGGACGTAACCCCCCCACCCCCATCCTCTTTCCATATTATCTTTATAACATCGTCTTCACATTGAGGGGTTTTAAATGTTGTCACATCCTGGTGTTACTCTGTGTTCATAAAATCCTGTGTGTGTGTGCTTAAGTACCCAGTCGTGTCTGACTCTTTGAGACCCCATGACTGCAGCCCACCAGGCTCCTCCGTCAGGAGGAATCACATGTCCATGTGACTCTCCAGGCAAGAATACTGGAGTGGATTGCCATGCCCTCCTCCAGGGAATCTTCCCAACCCAGCGATCAAACCCAGGACTCCAGCACTGCAGGCAGATTCTCTACTGTCTGAATCACCAGAGGCCCATAAAACCCTGCGAGACATGTAGAGGACGGGACTTAGGCTGCGAGGCGAGTGTCTCACACGGTGACAGCTCACAGGTCTGTGAACTCGCACCCTCCCGCTGAGGCCCCGCCCAGTGCCTCTGCCCTCCCACCTGCCCAGGTGTTATCCTAGTTACACTCCCAGTGTCGGGCTGGACCTCACGGCTGTGGTGTGCCCACCGTCTATGCTGGAGGAGAGGGTTACCCCACCCTGACAGCACCCGGCACAGATACAGCCAGCAGTGAACACAGCCATCGCGGCCGTGCCTACGCCGTGCTGTGTACCTCACGGGCCAGCTGCCCTGCAATTCTGCCTTTTAGACTCTGAAGTAGCCCCCATGGGGAGTATTATGAACTTTGGACAAAGGAGCCACCGAGGCTCAGCAAGGCTGCTGGGACTGGGGGTCTGGGTGGTGCGCCCTCTGCCCTGGGCTCACTGACCAGCCATCCCCGAAAGACACAGAGCAGATCTCACCAGGTGCCCCAGACCTTGCAAAACCACCTCTAAGAACAGCCCCTGGGAGAAGATCTGGTATTTTCAAGAGGCCTATCGGAAAACCATTCCGAGAGACTTGAGAAATGTTAAGCTTGCTGATTTTTGCTTTTGTTTTTTGAAAAAATGAGATATGTTTCCTTTCTTCTTCCCTCAACTAATCACCGTCTAAAGCACCCGCATGGTTGTTCTTTTAAGAGACAGGAAACATTTAACTCTTACCAACAAATTTCTGAGGCATAGAGCTCTTACGTTTGGCGACGTTAGATATTCTTTCCAGCACGAGGGAGCGCTCCGATCCCATCTTGCACAGATCTTCTGCCATTTCACTGTGATTAGTTTCTTCTTTAATGACTAAAGTCAAAGACAGTTAGAGAGACCAGTTTAGAAACGCTTACAGTCAAAGGATTCCGTCTCGTCACCCAGCGTTAAATCTGACATGTGTTAAGTGCCTACGAGAGCCAGGATCTTCACGGAGATTATTTCTAATCTTCCCAGCAACCCTGCCAGCCAGACAGAGGAGGATCAGAGCTGATGACACCTTCCCCATCCCCTAAGATCAGGGAACACGCACCACCACTCTCCCCAGAAGCTGGACTGTGATTTTACAACTGTGTTCCATGGACAAGTCCTCTTAACGTTTCAAATACTCCCCAGGCCACTCACTCAGTCACTCCTGACAGCAGCCCTCCTACAAATGAATGAACTCTCAGCTAGAAATGACCTAAGGGTCTGACTCTGTCACATGAACAGAGACGTAGGAGAACCGTGGCCACGAGGATGCTGCAGCCAACCCTGGCAAAAGGGGGAAAGAAGTCGGGAGTTCCTGGGCCCTGAACACAGCAACCTGGAAAGTCAAAGACAAGCACTGTAGGGAATCTAGAAATTGTGGAGATGAGAGGTGATCTAGGGAGTACTCCTAGCTGACCTTTGCTTTGCTATGTTATCCCTTTCTTTCCATAATTGAAGATACAGATACATATTCTGCATAGCCTGTGTTCTAATTTTTATGGTTGGATTTTTGAAAATATCAATTTTTCATCTCCCTGCAATTTCTCCTAATATATAAGAAGCTAAAAATCTAAACTGATTTTCTTCCTAATGGCTAATCAGCTCTTCCCAAACCAATTCTGTAGAGCTCACTGAAATCCCATACGCTGTGTGTCTTCCTTTCTTATACAGGACATGTTGATTGATCACAGCGTCTCTGGAAGGTTTATCCATTTCTATTATTGATTTATCTGCCTATTCTTCAAAGAGTTCCAGATGACAGCAATGTTTTAATATAACATTGGACATTACTTTTCTTTTTTAAAAATGCCAATTCCCGCTTTTATTTTTCCAGATACACTTTATATTATTCCAAAAAGATTGGCAAATTGACAAAAGTTGACACCAATTTTGTGCTGAAAACATCCCATGACCCCAGAAGATACACATGCAGCATTCAGACCTTTCTCTCCCACGGCTCCCCTGTGTTTTCTGGCCCCAGCATAGTTTGTGAGGCCAGAAGCAATTCTGAGCATTTCTAAGCACTTTTTTCTTTAGCTCTCCTTTAAAAAAAAAATTTTTTTTTTTGGCAGTCAATGAAGCTTAATGGGATCTTAGTTCCCTGACCAGGGATCGAATCTGTGCCCCCTTCACTGGTAGTTCAGAGTCTTAACCACTGGACTGCCAGGAAAATCCCTAATTCTAAGCATTTTATGTTTTCATTGCTTCACAATCAATGCCACGTTGAAAAAATATATTTCAAATAAGTTATTACCACTGGTAAATGTTATTTTTTAGCCTTGGTAATATGGGATTCTTATTAAATGGGTAAATATAATAGCCCACATCCTGATTTATAGGAGGGCTATGAATCAAATCCATAGAAGTCAATTGTACCGGTTGTCTTTTTGATCAAGCTGATATGCTTCTTGATGTGTCCATCCTTTTCTGCAAACGCAGACTCTGTGGCCTGCCCAGGGTGCCTACAGCACCTCGAGCTGGGTTTCCTTTCTGCCAGGCCAAGGGGCCTCCTGAGACCCTCAGAGCCACCACAGTGAGGGACCACAAGTCCTGACCTCCCAGACCACTGGCTTCTCTGCCCTCTGATATATTTCTCCCTAAGCTTCTACTGCAATCTACACACCTAAAGCCTCAAGAGAAACTTATGTTTTCTATAAAGACATTAGGAAATTACAGTGGATGACCAGAAAGCTTCTTCCTAAATAAAATCATACTCAGAAAAATTAAATCTTGGCCAAGTCTCCTAAGTCAGGCTTTGTCTTTATCTAAGCCCAAAGAATGGCCTCAACCTAAGGTGGACTGGAGGGGTCAAGCCTGTTTCAGGGCCCATGTGCACGCTCGTGAGGCCTGGTCCTGGGAGGTGTGGGAGGGATGCATGTGAAAAATGCACAGAAAGTGTAGGTCAGCCGGCTCCAGCCCAGTGAAGCCCTCACCCGCTGCCTGCCTGAGCCTTGACACAGCCTTGAAAGACCTTCTTCAGAGGGCGTTTATGGATCCTCCACAAGCGTGAACTTCACATGAGAAGCCTTCTCATCTCCCGAGAACAGGACTGAAAGCCACTGTGTGGAATTCCAAACCATCTGGCCCCCAAAAGGAGTCAGTTCACATCTTAGGACTAAATGAACTCTGACGGTAGGGTACTATGTAACATATACATCCCTGACAGAGAAGTGTGTTGACACGGACACAGGAGACTCCAGCCCCAGGGAGTCCCTAATGTGTGCATTCAGGTGAGGGCATGACGCAGATCTCTGCTCAGAGCCTTTCCATGAGGTCGGTCAGGCAGGAACCGCCTAACTCCCACCTAGGTGGGCCTACTGGCATTCGGAAACAGAGTCAGAAAAGAAGCTTGCATCCAGGGCTCAGTGAAGGAGAAGCTCCCAGAAGCCCACTGGACATTAGGGCTTGTATGCTTAGTCATGAAAACAGTGGAGGCAACCTGTGAACTCTGCTGGGGCCTCTGGTTCATCTTGTCATCCCAATTCCACGTGTACAATTTTGGAGGGAAATTCAGATTACTATCTTAATAGAGTACCCTGGACTGCAAGGATATTAAACCAGTCCATCCTAAAGGAAGTCAGTCCTGAATATTCACTGGAAGGACTGATGCTGAAGCTGAAGCTCCAATACTTTGGCCACCTGATGCAAAGAACTGACTCATTGGAAAAGATCCTGATGCTGCAAGAGATTGAAGGTAAGAGGAGAAGAGGAGGATGAGATGGTTGGATGGCATCACTGACGTGATGGACATGAGTTTGAGCAAGCTCCAGGAGTTGGTGATGGACACGGAAGCCTTGTGTGCTTCAGTCCATGGGGTCGCAAAGAGTCTGAGAAGACTGAGCAACTGAACTGAACTGATCTTCAGTAGGACTTGGCATGGTATATAATATGTCCTCAGTAAATATTTGTTGGGTAAATAAATGACTTATTTAATCATTCATTAAAAGCACTGACTTCCAAGACCCATTTTTTTTAACAGAAAAATGTAATATCAAGTATTTACATTTTATTTTAAAGGACTATAATCATCTTCTCATCCCTTAATCTCCTACTCGAGGGTCTGGCCACAAATTGATAAATTATTATTATTATTATTATTATTATTGATATCTACTTTCCTCTCTTCCACTAAGCTACAATGCCTTTGTTCTAGAAACAGAACTTACACTTTGAAGGAAGCTAAAGGATAACTTGATGCAATCTCCCCATTTTATAGGTGAGAAGATTAAGGCCCAGTGAAATCAAATGTTGGACCCAGATTGACCCCAGATCAGTGGGGGACATCCTACTCCTTGATGCCAAGACTACTCAATTTTTAGGACTTTATTCTGATACTGACTATTCTTTCCTCTGATCTCAGCTGCCATTAGTAATCTGAGCATTACCGAATTCACAAAATAGCACTGAAACACACTTAAAAATGGGGCTTCCCTTTCAGTCGGTAAAGAATCTGCCAGCAATGCTGGAGGCCTGGGTTTGATCCCTGGGTCAGGAAGACCCCCTGGAGAAGGAAATGGCAACCCACTCCAGTATTCTTGCCTGGAGAATCCCATGGACAGAGGAGCCTTGCAGGCTACAGTCCATGGGGTCACAAGAATCAGACATGACTTAGCAACTAAAATCACCACCCCACTTAAAAACAGGATAGTTAGCCTCATGTTATATGTATCTAAACACAATAACAAAATAAAATAAATGTTAAAATTTAAAACTAATAACCTGAGAGTTCCCTGATGGATTTTTCTTTATGAGCCATTTATTAAAGTCAGAAAGCTGAATGAGACTTGATAAAATCTCAACTATTCATTTAGCATCTACTCCTTCATCTGGTGCTGGTGGTAAAGAACTTGCCTGCCAATGCAGGATATGTAAGAGTTGAGGGTTCAGTCCCTGGGTTGGGAAGATCCCCTGGAGGAGAGCATGGCAACCCACGTCAGTATTGCTGCCTGGAGAATCCCATGGACAGAGGAGTCTGGTGGGCTACAGTCCATAGGGGCGCAGAGAGTCAGACACGACTGAAGTGACTTAACATGTACACATACCCCCATCCAATGAGGATTTTTCCAGCAGTCATGCTAAATGAGTAGTGTTTTGAAAGAGGTGAACTTGAGCTAATCTATCCATAAATTTCATGTCTTAGAAAATCAGAAAGGTGCTTTTGACAATACTGCTGGCCCTTGAGTAAATAATTCAGCCCTTTCCATAGTCTCTATGTTAACATCTTTCACTTCAGCTTGTCTCAGATCAGAGCCGAACATCTTGAGATGCAACAGATACACAGCAAAGCATCAGAGCACATGAGGGAAAAATGAAGCTTCCCTTGAATCCTGTGACAGCTGCAGGACCACAGACGGTCAGGGTCTTTCAATTATCCCATGTCCCAGGCAGATGCCAACACCAATAAATGAAAACAGGGCCTGAACACTCTTATTTGATCCACTTCATGAAAAAAAGTCATTTTTAGAGCCAGATTTCACATATTATTTTGATGACTAAGCACAAGGAAAATCTATACTCCTAGGTTAAAAAAAAACAAAAACCACCACCAAAAAAAAAAAAAAAACCCAGAAAAGTAAAAACCTGAGGCTTTCAAGGGTCACTATGATCTCAGAAGCTGATCCAGATTTTGAGAGGGACGGGTTTCATGAGCACGTGCTCCCTGGTGAGAGCAAGTCTGGGAGCGCTAGGAAGCAGGAGGCACTCCTAGTGAGACTTTAGTGGCAGAAGCGTCCCTCCGTCCCAGCTGCGGTGGCTCCCGGGCCTGTGCTCTGGCCCAGCTGCATCCCAGTGGGCAAGGGGCCCTCCGTGCCCCTGGCTGGGGGGGGGCCGGGGCCAGGCAGGTGTGCCCGCGGGGCTTACCTGGGTAGAGCGCGCCTGGGAGGCCCATGCTTTGCAAGTAGTTGTGGCAGCGCTCTTTGTGTTCCTCCAAAGAGCTCCGCTGTTTATAGCTTCGGCCACAATATCCACATTTGTGAGGCTTACCAACTGCAGGAGACACAATGGAGTTCGAGACCCCGATTAAATAGCGGCCGTACGTGTCATGGGAAGGCATGCAATACACTTCTTATCAAAAAGACAAAAAAAAAAACCCTCTCTATTCTTGAGAGCTAAAAGTATCATGGACTCAGTTAAGATGACTGAATTTAAAAATGTGAATGATCAGGGGCTTCCTGATTGTACCAAGAACTCCTGCCACCTTTTTTTCATTTTAACTTGTTCACTGTCCAGCCTACCAAACTCTCTCCATTTAAATCACAAAGTCTGTCTTTTAACTGAAGAAAACAAAGCACTGCTGTGTGATGCCAGGGATGCCCAACACCAGGGCACAGATGTGCAGAAGATGTGCCCACGTTGGCAGGATAATACACCCATTCAGCTCCAAAGTCAGCCTCTTGTCCACTTCTCCACCAGGTCTGGCCTGACACTGGTGCCAGATCTAATGCAACCAAAGTGAATTCAACTCCTAAATTAGTGCTAAACTAATAATCTGAGGTCTCAAAGAAACCACAGTGGATAAATAGACTTTAATGAAATGAGCATTCTGTTTTCAAAATGTATTTTCTGGTTCTAACTTGGAAAAGCTCTATTTTCTCTTCCAAAGACCCTTAGAAGAGCATGGCTTCTCTTAAATAGAGCGGCCCTGTCCAACAGAATTTACTAGGAAGAAGGAAGTGCTCTCCCCCCGGCTGTCCAGTACGGCAGTCACGAACCATGTGTGAGCACTGGTCGGTCAAAGTATGGTCTGTGCCACTAAGAGCAGAAATTTGAATTCTAATTTTAAGTAATTAAAAAGTAAATCCCACCTATGGCTTGTGGCTAATGTATTGAGCAGTGTACTTCTATACAGAGTTTAGTTCTCCCTGAATTTTATTGAGTGATATTTTACGAAAAGACTAGCACAAATTCATATCACACCTACACTTAAAGATTCTAATAGCATTTTAGGAGATGAAATGGATAAAGGATATTCTATTAATTTCAATCCTAAAGCCAGAATCTTCTCCTTTTCTGCTCATATTGTTAGATTTCACATATTTGAGAGTATTATGTCAAAATCCATGCCACCCACATGTTTGGTGAAATGGCTTAACCAAAGCTTGTATTGGTTAAATCTCTTACTTAGGTCAACAGAAGCTACAGTTTATGAAAACCAGGATGAAAACCAAAATTTGACTTCTGGAATATTTACTAGTGGGGAAAAAGAATAATTCTTTATCTGGAGAAAGTGCTGTATCCCTAACATCAGAAAAACAACACTGAAATATACAATGTTGCTTAAAACTGCACTTTTTGTTGAGTATGCCCTTTAGAAACTAATAGAATCAAGATAACTCACTCCATGTCCTTTCTGGGAAACACTGTAACTTCAGCAAATTCCTATACATATGGCCTGAAAACCCATTTCTGTCTGAATACCCGTTTCTGTCTGAGTATATGATTGACTTTAACTCTGGAACATAAGTTTTTGGAAGCAACTGAACTACAGTGTATCTTGAAGTGTAGCCCACTATTTTGTAGGAAGGAAGGTCACTAGGCAAACTTGCAACTTCCAAAGAAAGCAGAGAAGAGGGGAGGGGGACCGTTCCCCACCATTCCAGACCACCCGACTCCCTCTTATTAGTATGGGACAAGTTCTATAGCCGGAATCTCAGGCCACCACCAGTTGCCAGGGAAAGCTACCAGGTTGATGGCAGTTTTTAGTGGAATGGGAGTGCGGCCACTTCACAATGGAATAGAACACAACCACACTTGGGTTTGTAGACAAAGTCTGAAGTCTTCGTTTTGTTCCCATGAAACCACCTTGTAGAACCTAAATCACTGTTGTTTTTTTCTTCCCCCAGGAGCTGTGTGTCAGTGGCACTTTCTGATGGCAGAATCACCAGCAGACCTGGATCAGTGATGGTTCTCTCCCTGTGATTTTATCTATTTTCTCACCAGTGAATCCTTAATGGAAATAAACTGTCCAAAGTGCACGATGTTGTTAGCCATACTTGGAGCAGGACACCATCATGCCACAAATGAAATAAGCAGGGATGGAGCCAGAATAACCTAAAACACGGCATTAGATGTTTCTAATTTCACTACAGGACTGATACACAGGAGGTTTCTGCTGCCAGTCAGAGTGACCTGGGATGACCATGGTAGGCATCAAGCTAAGACTGAGTCTGGTTTTTCTACCAAAGGGGTGCTGTGTGTCCTCCCAACTCCAACGCAGTATCACCACCAGCTGTGCTGGCGTCGGCTTGCCTCTGAAGGACCTGGTGGAGTGGCTCTGCCCCAGACCTCGTGGTGGGCTCCGTATACAGACGGCGTACAGATCTGGAGCCTGTGGGGACCCTGTGAACCTTCACCTCTCGGGGGACAACACGTGCACTCCTTATCGTCCACGCTGCAAGCACCCGAGAATGCTCGCTGTCACGGGGTCAGCGTCCCACTTTGGGGAAATGCCGTTTTCCTGTCCCCTGCAGCAAAGTCCTCCCAGCCCTCAGCAGCTCCCTGGCCCAGATCACCCACTGATCTCCCGCTGTGGGAGGGGCCACTGGCTTCAAGTGGCTCCTTCCTCAGGAGAGTTTAGGCCGCTCGCCCACACCACACCATCCTGGTTTTCTAAGAGCATCTAGGAGCCTCCTCTATGCTGATGGTCAGGAAGGAGGTCAGAACAAGGGGAGATGGCTGGGCCAAGCACCTGAGACCCAGACCGGCAGCCTGCCCCCCACAACTGTCCCCAGGGCCTCCCGAGGAGCCCCTGGAGGAGGACATCCCCCCATACTCATAAAGGCCCCCCAGCCCCTTTCTAGGACCACTCACAGAGCCACACATTCACTGAGAACTTTTCCAAAGGTGAACCCAGAAACCTCTCCCTGGAGACCCGCTGTCTCCTCCCTGCACCCCTGCCGTCCCTACACACGCATCATGGCTCCCAGTACACACTGCAGCTTTGCTGTCTCTTCCCTGAGGAGCTCAACGAATGTGTGAAGGCCTCAGACCCTGGCATTAACTACACTCACTATCTAAAGGGCAGAGACCGCCTGAGTCCAGGCCAACCTTCTCCAAGGACATGCACCCCCTCCTCTGGGGCAGGGGCCTCTTTGAGGTGCTGCCCTGGGGGTGATGGGGAGCTGTTGGTCTAGACGGTAAGCCCCCTGAGGGCAGGGGAAGGGCGTGATGTCAGATGCCCCCAGGGACAGCACACAGGTCTCACTCTGTCTTCCTCTTACCTGGAAGATCACAGGGTCACTGGGTGATGAAACGCCAAGGAATTTTCTATGGACGCAGGAGATCTAGTATAATCAGAGGTTGATCTGGGCTCCCAGGCTGGAGCACTTCAAATACTGTGGAGCATTCACAGGTACCATCATCTCACTGAGACCCCAATTACCCAGATGGGTTTATCACATTCTGGTAACAGCTCCAAACTGGCCTCTCCCACTGGGGCCTCAATCAGCCTCTGGTGTGACTGCTATATTGGGTCCCTTTGGGCCCATTTGGGGGTGCACCAGGCGACACCAATCAGAACAGAATCACCTTTGCAAAGAAAACTATCCCCATGATGACCCCTGACATGCTCGGCCTTAAATAGCAACGAGGGTGGCTTCACAATGTTCATGGAGAGATGTATTTGGAAACTTCAGGGCATTGGCAGCAGACTCAGGACAAGTGCAAGCTGGTAAAATCTTTGCAAAGAAAAACCCACTTACCTGAAAAATGGAATGAGGAGGACTGCTCTTAAAATATTCTAAGATGAGACGTGTGTGTGTGTGTGTGTGTGTGCACGAGGTTGTGTAATATTTCCCCACCCCTTTCCTCTGGTTTGTTGGGAGACCAGAGCACGTGGGGGGAGGGCGCTGATGCTCCAACTGGGTGCAGCAATGCCCAGGGGACTGATCCTGGGAGTAGGGCTGCCCCAGAGGGAGCCAGGCGCCCCCGAGCTGAGCCCGCCGGCGCCCACCCGGGGGACCTACCGGAGTGCGTCCTCAGGTGGCCGGTGAGGGCGTCCCGCCGGCGACACGCGTAGTTGCAGAGGTGGCACTTGAAGGGCTTCTCCCCCGAGTGCAGCTTGATGTGCCGGAGCAAGTTGCCTTTCTGCGTGAACGAGGCCCCGCACTGGTTGCACTGGAATGGTCGCTCTCCTGGGGGGACAAGAGGCAGAGCGGTGAGAGCGGAACTCAGCGGGGACGGAGGAGGACACGGCGAGAAAGTTGTTTCCCACGGGCCCGGTGACTTCCACCGGCTGCAGGTTTGATAGAACATGAGGCTTTCAGACTAAACCTGCCAGTTCCTTAACGCTTCACTGGTTGGGTCAATTTGATCTGAAAATCTAATTTTTTTTCCCTAAATCAGAATGGCACATCACAATGCAAATTCAAACTCATTTAAATAAAGTGACTGCAACATTTTGTGATGAAGAGCCACTCTTCCTGATCAGCAGTTTTGGAATAAACCAATATCCAATTTTGCGTGTTGTGGCATTTGGTGGGGGTTTTAATGTGGCTTTTTTCAAAGGGTCTTTAAAATATGCCACTGAAGCAGCAAAATAAAAAGGAAACTCATTAAAAATGCATTTCAGGATCACAAGTTCATTTCAGCGTTACATTCTTATATTTAAATGAAAGGCACTTCATTATAACAGTTATAATAACTTCTTTTCATTTACATTTTCCCTGTATTTTCCCTTTCAATTTCTTCTCCATTACCTGTCTGTCCCTATGCAGGCAAATCAGGAAAGAGACAGACAGAGTGTGAGGGTGGGAGGGAGAGAAGGAGAAGGACTGCATAAAATGAGAAGTTGAGAAACTGAAGGGAAGGTTTCCATGTTCCAAAGAGAAGTCCTGCATCTCCCTCAAAATCTGAGCTGCACTGAGGGTTCTGGCTTTTTCCTTTGCCTCATAATCCTGCAGCCTTGAAGCCAGTATTAAGTCTATCCATATCTACTGAAGTCAGTTTTATTTTCAGTACAGATATTCTAAGAGATGAAACTCAGTTATTACTAGGAACTCTTTCAGGAGCAGAACCACTGGAGTGGTTCACAAAAGCAACAACAGAACAAAACAAAAAACCCACTGGATTCTCTGCTGTGTGTCAGCTCACGTCCCCCAACTCTCGACCCAACAGAGTGATGAATGGGCAGATGTGACCAAGAAACATGCTACTGACTAGTCACAGGACTCAGAACCTAAGATCAGTGAATATTTAACTCTCACTTAAAACAGGGATACATTTGTCATGTTTAAGTAAATATCAAAACTCTTTAAAAAGTGCTTTTTTTTTTAGACAAAAAGCTTTGTATGACCATGATATCTGGTATTGAGATACTATGAAAATGCATTTCCTAGTAACAACTTTACCTTAGGGAAGAAGAATGTATTAAAATGTATTTTAACAATTTTCCCAATCGATCTGCATGATTTTGGTGAACAAGACAGCACTTATCAAGAGCAATTAGAAGTGCTTCTGGTACTACTAAATCTACACCAGATTAAATTTAGAAGCCTGTGTTGGCATCTGAATTTCAAGATTATCATCATTCTTAAGTGGGAGGGATAGATGTGCTACTGGAAAAACTGAAGCGAACTTACAATGATATTCAGTTATAGACCATTTGGAATCCTAACAATAACAATATATTTGGAATTTTCCAAAGTCTATATCTAGATTGGATCTGATTGAGCAGAGGAAGTCCAGCAGATGGAAAGGTGATGGTAAAAGTAACTAACTTCCTCAATCTCTGAGTTACAAGTCCACACTAGATGAGGAGATTACAATAGCTGGTAGCAGGCAGACCCAAGAAGCATCTAATAGAGACTGTTAATTTTCTACTAGAAACACTTCTGGGCCTTCCCCCACACACGTGTGTGTGTGTGTGACTGTGGTCTTTAGCTCCAAGCAGACGGAAGAAGGAAGAAGTCAGGGTGACTGGCAGGGCAGACGCTTAGGCTGAGTGTTCTAGAGAGCTAGGCGGTCCAACGCCATGAATATGGTCATGGCAAGGATGTGGACCATTCCTGGTGACCAATGTGCCTCGTTGTGATCCCTGCCCATTGTAAAGTGCCCCCTCTACGCTAACGAGGTGCTGGGCCCCCGGCTTCTCCTGAGGTCTGAAAGGTTGGGGGGGACACCGGGTCAGACCTGCCATCCAGCCAGTGCCTGTCAGCGGAGAGAGAAAGGACAGATGGTTACAGTCATGGATCCCTTCAGAAGAACAGGGCAAGACAGGGACCGTGACTTCGAGAGTGAAATTTGTCTTCTAATTTGAGTCATCGGCTCTCATGTAGCCTGCTGGGCCTGGCGTCTTAATTCCACTGGCAAGCTTTCCTGGAAATCTATTTGTTTCTGACTGTTGTGCCGGCATGAGTATGTAACATGGGGCCTGGGGACTGAAGTGATGACAAGGAATTCAACCCAAGGTGGCTTCCCTTTGGAGGTGTTAGCAGGAAAGGGCCCCGGAGTTAGATGGCAGGACTCAGCTCACAACACCTGGTCCTTCGCTGCCACTGCCAACTGCTCATCCCTACAGCATGCAGCTGATGGCGAGTGAGCCCAAGCTCCTCCAAGGCTGTATTCCCTTCTAGTTAATTGGGATGAGGAGTTTTGTATCATTAATTCAAAATTTAGTTTGCAATCTCAGTGACTCTATAATCTGTCATTTCAGGGGCTCTCTGAAGAATGCCTAAGCTTCTCTTCATAACTTAATTGAGTAAAAAAGAAAGTCCATGGGCACCTACATCATAAAATTTCTGATCCTATATCCGAAGAAAGTGAATTCCTAAGTATACTGAGCCACCAGGAGTTGCCTGGGCTTACTGCAGTCATGCCCTGGGTCAGGAATCAGTGCCGAGGCTACGGCTGTCCAGTCACTAAGCCATGGACAAATCTTTGCAACTCCATGGACCTCAGTCCACCAGGCTCCTCTGGTCATGGGACTTTTCCAGGCAAGAATACTGGAGTGGGTTGCCATTTCCTTCTCCAGGGCATCTTCCCGACCTGCGGATTGACCCAAGTCTCCTGCTTGGCAGGTGGATTCTTTACCAGTGAGCCACCTGGGAAGCCCAGCACCCAATGTGAGGCTATGTTCACAAAGCCTAATGGCTGCACCTTTTCAGCTACAGATGGGCATAGAGCAGGCACAGGGCTGGACAGGATAACCATAATTTGGACATTTTTCTCGATGCTTCCTATTAAAAATCCTATCATTTAGAACCAGGATGCTGCACACCTGCATGGTGGGGTGCTCCCTGCATTACACGCTCCTCTCCTAACAGCCTCCCTCTGATTCTCCCGGGAGCCCTCAGGTTGGCAGGAAGGTGTTACTATGACGCTTGGGTTAAAAAAAGGAGATTGAGCAGCAAACGTGGGGAAGTGAAATGACGGCATCAACGGACCACTCAGACGAAGGCAGCCACAGCCCTGGCGGGGCCAGTGATGAGGGCGTGGCTCCAGACGGGCGGGTCTTTCAGAAGGAAGCCCGGGGTGCCCAGCCCACGGGGTGGCAGGAGGTGCAAGGCCAAGCTCCCTGGGAGAGGGCCCTCTGAAATGGCCCTGTTTCTGGTTCACTATAAGCTGCACCGTGTACCACCTACAGACAGTCTGGGTCCCTGCTCCAGCTCCCAGCATCCTCTGGGTCTGGACCAGAGTCTGCATTTTCACAGGACCTCCAGTGAGTCACGGGAACTTTACCTTTGGAAAATGCGGCTCTAGAAACATGTTAGCCTTAGGAAATTCAGGGCAGCATTGGGGATTAGCAAAGCCTGCCTTTCTGATACATTCCCCTCTGATCCCATAAATGATGATATTTTGCAGTGTGACTACTCAAACCTAGTTTGGCCAACATGTTGCTATTTCTATACATACCAACCTACCACTGTATCTATGCAAAGTAGAAAAGCATTATGAAGGCAATCCAGGAGCTCCTTGTTTCAGGTTTTTTTGCTTTTTCCTTTTTAATAGAAATCAAGCTGGAATCATAAAACTGTGGTCTCTAAGTCCCTCTTTCTGGAATGAACGGCTCCGTTAGGGAAACATGTCGGTGCCTATCTGGCATGGGGCCACCATTTGTGGGCAGAAGTGGGCAGCAAACAGCCAGTCTACTCTGCATATCAATACTTGGCAGGTTTATCATTAAATGCAATTATTCTTTTTATCAGGGCAGGCAGTCATTATATTCTGGCCATTTAGTATGCCAGCATTTCATTCAGTTATCAAATATTTATTGAAGAGAATTTTCACTGTATAGTGAGGTTTTACGTGAATTAACAGGAAAGTCATTCATTTGTCAGGTCTATTTCTCTACCAGGAATGAATTCACGTGGGTCCCAGTGCATCCTGTAAGGGGTCTCTCACCACGTAACCTACGTTCACTTTAATTTCTGCCTCCTGACTACTCTCCCGTGAGCTTCCCTTAGGGCTGAATGTGCTGGGGATTGTTCATGGGATAATAGGGGGATTAACAGGCACATTAGGAAAAAACAAAGTTTGCTAAACTGTAGAAGTTAAGTTTTTATCGAAAATGAATGTTGCTTGAAAGTAAATGTATTATATACAGTTTTTCCAGATGGATGGCAACCAAAAATCATTTTGGGAACTGCCTGATTCAAATACAAAAATGACAGCTCTACAAAGATCCGCATTTCCTTACAACCCAGTTGTTTTGCTCCATGAATTCTCTGAGTTCCTGCTTCATTTTTGATAATCAGATAAGCGTGTGGCCCAGGGAAGGATCATGAGGCCACAATGCTCATCTTCTTCCTCACTTCCCTGAGCTGGGTTACGAAACCCACTCTGCCTTCTCAATCTGCGGTTTCGCCAGCTTGCTTGTCTCCTCTTGTGGAGAGCAGGGGCAGACCCTGGCTTTAGGATGACCTAATCCTAACCCTAACCGCAGCCCCCTGCCACCACCCCCGGCAGCAGGGGCTCAGGGCATGTTTATGTCCAAACTTTTAGTGACCACTGGAGTTGGCACATTTATTGTCTTTTTCTACCTTTAAAGCAGAAGAGTAAAGTTTATATTCAGTTCTAAAGACTCTTAATGCATGCCGTTAAAGGTAAGCTGTGCCCTGTTAGTATTTTATTTTGAAGATTCTTTAGGGCCACATTTCTGGTGGGTGCACGTGACTGGTCATCCAGCATGACTGCACCCAGGGGCACTCCAGCCCCCAATGTGGGAACATGTCAGGAGCTCAGGTGCAGACTTCAGTTTGCCCTCTTTCATTTCTGGATCCAGAATACTTTCTCTTCTGCTGCAAAGCCTCCATCCCCCACATCCACTAGGGTGGGGGTTTAGGTATTAAATTCTTTACCAATTTGAGAAGGTCTCCTGCATTGCAGGCAGATCCTTTACTGTCTGAATCGCCAGGGAAGCCCTCAGATGGGAGCTGGTGGCAAGCAAATCATCTCGGTGGGAGTGTCACCTTGGAGGAGAAGCCTTCTGAAAACAAACTCTTTCTGAAAGACTACATTTTGCTGCTATTCCATCAGCATTCAATGAACGTTTCTAAGGATCAAGCCCTGTCCGTTCAAATACCCCCAACATGCATCTTCCACTCCTGGTTTCTTAGCGGACAATCTGAGGAGTGGATTTCAGGGTATCAGCCTCTTACTCTGTTTTGTTTCCTATGGGTGAACCATCGGGCACAGCCCCGCTGCCCCTATTTAGCGAGTAGAACCTCAGACCCTTGTCAGAACTCACACACCTGTTCCCTTTCCCTTTCTGTTTATAGCTTTAGTTTAGAGGATCCAATCGGTGCGTGCTTAGAAGTCCTTCTGGATGAACAGGGAGGCTACACCTCGCTCAGGACACTCGGCCGGGAAGGGCCTTGTCCTCTGCGACACCCCGTGGGCCCCTCCAGGCCACCGAAGGAGGAACTACGCCAGGCCTTACCAGTGTGGCTTCTCTTGTGGACCATGAGTACATTGGGGCCGATGCAAATGATCCCACAGACATCACACTTTAGTTTGCCGTTAGGGAGTCGAATGCCTCCAGCTCCTGACAAGGCTTTGCTGCCTTGGACACTGTGCGAGCCATTCATTTTCTCTCCGGAGGCATCGAGCATCCGCAAGTCCTCCGCACACTCTTCCCCATTCACTTCACAGGCACGCCCATTCTCTTCATCACTCTGAGTCTCTACTTTAACATTACCGGCTGAAAGAGACAATACAACACAGGGCGCTGCTCAGTGTCAGGCAAAAACAGAACAGCACCGCCCAGCAGCAAAGCAACCCAGCAGGAGTGACAGCTTCCAAACACAGGTTCTCAGCAGCTTAGCCCGGGGGGCAGCAGCCCGGCCCGGACCCGTCCGCCCACAGCGGGCTGTGACGCGTGGCAGTCGGCATCACGGGGCTGGGTCAGCTGCCTGCCCTTTCTGTAGGTCTGAATGCCAGGGGGTGAAGATGCATGGAAAAGCCATTTATAAATTCTCACTTTAGATTGGGGGGGCTTGGGGGGCTCTCATGGGGTAAGGTCACCAGGTCCACCGTGACAGCCCCTCTGAAGTGATCCGAGGCCAGGTCCAACACCCTGTGAGCCAGCAGAACCCCTGATCCCAGAAGGTGAGTGACCATCAAGTAATCCAGCCCCCACGGGTGGGGGCCCTTGTTTGGCGAACCCCCCTGAGAAGTGCTAATCTAGCTGATAAAGTCCCCTTAAGCATAAGGATAAGCATAAGCTTCCTTTCCTTCATTCATTCATGTATTAATAAATGTGGGGACCAAACTCAGCAAACACACCCTCAGATTTCTGACTGCAGATTCCTGAAAGCATTTTGTTTGTTTCTTTGGCACATGACCACTCTAAACCCTTTTTATTCCATAGTGATAATAAAACCTGTATCCTAAAGTAGGGCCACGAGCCTCAGGTTTCTTCCAGTTGCTCAAGGGTTGACTGGGATGGCCTGTGAACGTAATCAGATCTGTACTAGCTTTCCAGAAAGAAAGACTCGCGTGTGGGCATGAGGAGGGGGAACAGGGGAGGTGGCGGGCTCTTGGTTATGATACGATAACCACTGTCCACTTCGCACTGTTGTCTCCTCAGCATCACATTTAGGGTCGTTATTTCTGTCATTCATGTATTTTTCTTGGTAAAGAAAACAGATATTTGGTTTGCACTCTTCTGAAACACCAACTGATAAGGGATGGCTGAATCCAACCCTGCGATGACCAGGAGAAACTGCAGTTACACTGAAAGCCCTCGTGTTCATCACAGTCTCTCCAGATGAACAAGAGGAAGGAGGTAAATTATGCCAGGTAAAATCATCAATGAGATAGACAGTAACCATGACAACAAAATTTTTGATTGGCGTTGTGAATCAGTGGTTCTCCCACTGTGGTCTCTGGACCAGAACAGCAGACAGAACTTGCTGCAAGAGCAGACTTTGGGGTCCACCTCAGACCCACTGAACAAGACCCACCCCAGACCCGCCCCTGGGGGTGGGTCCTGCCTCGGACACTTCCACTTCCACTAGAGTCTGAGAAAGCCTGTGCAAGTAACAAGCTCAACACATTTCTCACGACTGGCAAGCCCAGTGCCAAGACTCGGAAATCAGAATTCCTGGTTTGGAATCTCAGCTCCATTCTTTATAAATGCTGAGATCTGGTACAACCCATGTACCGTCTCTGTACCTCGGTTTCCTCATCTGTAAAACTGGAAACTGTCAGCATTAGCCCAACTGGAGCTTTGAGAGAATTGAGAAGGTAAAGAGATGGCTTTCTGCCATCAGGACCCATACCCTGGTCCTGGAGGTGGCGGTGGGCAGCACAGGGAAAGCATGTCAGGAGTGAACAGGATGAGGACAATGGGGATGGAAAGTGAGGGACGAATGTCACCTTTAATCTCACAGATGCCCTCACGCTAGAAGTCGTGACACCCGTCTGACAGCAGTCCATGAAGGCGGGACTTTGTCATTATTCTGCCAAGTGACATTTTCTCTGAGAACTGTATTCATAGACTCAAGAAACCAGGAAATTGGAAAGGCCTGAGATCTTTTTGTAAGTTACCCTCCGACCATTGTGGATCCTCTGGTATGGTTTTAGGTAGATGTATTCAGCACCACAAGAGGCTAAGCGCAAAGAAGAAAATTCAGTATCCTGTGATAGTCTAGTTTTATGGAAAAAAAGTAGGCAGACCCCCAATTTGGGGGTCCCCAGATCGCTGCGCAAGGGCAGGGGAGCGTAAAGGTCAGGGGACTAGACAGGGGGTTGGAGTCACATGGAGACACATGGGGTCACAGGAGCCAGCAGGCACATGCTGGGGATGCAGAGCTGGAAGCTGCCTGCACTTGGGGGTGGCGTGGGGGGCAGAATTCAAGGCTAGACGGTCACAGAAAGGTCTGTGGCAAGTGAGAGGGGGGCGGGGGTTGGAGGTGAGACTCAGTGGGCCACACATCAGCCACTGGCTCAGCAGATTCAAGCATGTGTGAATTTTTTCTCGGTGTGAAGGGGAAGTTCCTATCTCTTTGTGGACAAATGCACCCTGGGTGCCGGCTGCGTGGAAAAGGTGCAGAGACGCCCCCAACCCAAGGTGGGTGTCCACGAAAAAGGCCTCTCATCTCGCGAGGAGGTGAATATAGGCGGCGGTCGTGCTATTCTCGTACATGACGGAAATCAGGGCAGGGAACTGTCTTAATACGAGGCAAACACAGATCAGACCTCAAAAGTTGAAATCTAACATACATCCATGTAAGGCCCACAGACTGCAGAAGACACATTTGAGAAACACAAGCTCAGACGGGGTGTTCTGGCTTCACTTCTGTACATGTGAAAGTGGCTGGGGGGGGTTCACGTGATGGTGAGCTTGACTAGCAACGTGGCCCAAGAAAAGGACAGTAGGAGCTGCAGACTTGGGGGCCCACAGTACTGACCTACAGAGACTCCCTGCCGCACAGGCTGGACGCCCCCTTCAAACAGGTGCACACAGTCCGGAAGGGGTCAGAAGGAAGGAAACCGGGGGTCACAGAAGCCCATTCTTAGATGTCGAGGGGCCCCAATGCGCTGGGCTCAGACACAAGGCTCTGGCTGAGAGCAGAGATGCCCCCGATCCCAAGTTCCTGAATGAAGGGAGGCAGGCGGGAAGACGAAAGGGGGACTGGAGGCCCCCTGCCCCCGACCCCACGTTCCTGAATGAAGGGAGGCAGGCGGGAAGACGCAAGGGGGGACTGGAGGCCCTCTTGAGGGGGATCCCTGCCCTGGGGGGCCTCCACACTGCTGGAGACCAGAAGGCAAGCCTGGAGCGTGGTGCTGGTGGGTGGCTCCGGCAGTCGGGCTCCCCCTCAAGGCACCAGAGGGGCAGGCGCGGGTGTGGAGGGCCTGTCCCTGCCTCTTGTAGGCACCTTCCCAGGAAGGCTCTCAGGTCTGAGAGCTGGTGGGTCCGTGGTTTTGAGCTGCACAGCCTGGAGCACTCAGGCGCACCAGCCTTTGCTCAGACTAGTGAAGGAGGAGACTGGGAACAGATGGCGGGTGTGTACTAAAGCCATCCGCAGGTCCACACCCCAACACTCCACAGCCCAACCAAAGAGACGGGCAGGGCCCCTGCATCCTTGCATGAGAATGCCATGTGGTCAGCCCTCCTGTTTGCTTCCTCAGACCCATCCTGTCACCAATTCCAGGAACCAGTCATCCTTCCTAACTTGCATTTAGTGTTCCGTGGTCCAGCCCATAGATGCTATCTCTGTGGGCATCCCCTCTCTGAATTCCTAAACCATTCCATCGGCTCTGTTTCTCTGGACCCCAAGCTGCTTAGTTGCACTACTGCTTCTATGAAATGTTATACTCTCCCTGAATATAAGGATTATACTTATAAATATTTTGTAACTCTGTCCTTCCACCACTTAGAAAATGTCAAACTCAGTACGGTGCTGAATGGAACTGATTAAATATAGAACATGAAATAGAGCCTGAGTTTCCTGACCCTGGAACACGTTGGCTCAGGCCTAACCGTGCAGCTAACTTTCCCACCGAGTCCGGGAGCTAATGGACGAGGCCCCACTGTCATTATTTAATAAACATGGCTGCCTGCAGAGTGGATGTGCCTTCAAGCCCTGAGCCAAAAGCTACTTTCTTTCCAAGATGCAATTTAAAATTTGGGAAAATGAAAGTCTCGTTGTTATACATCTCAGAGGCTTTCTATGTTAATAGTAACAGGACAGTCCTTAGAGTGACCCTGGGTGCCTAAACATTAGCACATAGACAAGGTTAGCCCTGTGAGAATCCAGAGAACTCGGGGTCAGTGGGGCCAGGAGGCCTGGATCTGCTGCCAACCATTGTGTGGCCTCACGAAAGATTAAAACATTTTAATGCAAAGAGATAAAGCACACTGGCAGCCTCGCCTCACAGATAGATTCTGTTTCCCCATCACTTTCCCTCCCCTTTAGAATGCGTCTATATATTTATAGGTAAGGTAAAGCATTGGTACTCAGATGGCATTTTTCCACTGACCAGATAGCCCCTAAACTATGAGCTTAGACCAGGTAAGCTCAAAATGCTCAATATTTTAAATGAAAAAACCAGGAGACAGAAATATCCCTGCAACTGGTGACTAGCTAGGAAAGAGCAAATGTATTTAAGGTGTATCTTGAATGAAGGTAATTAAAAATGTTATATGAAGAGAGATGTGTAGAAGTTTTCGTGCTGCCTCTAAAGGTTTATGAAAACTTTTAAGCACTTTAAGGTTAATAAAACCACTGATTAGAACTTATAGCATTGAAAACACAGGATTTTTCATTGCAAGGAGACATGATTACTTCCTTTACTTCACTAATGGGAAGGTAGCCATGCCCTTCTCTGGGGGATCTTCCTGACCCAGTGACTGAAGCCAGGTCTCCGGCATTGCAGGCGGATTCTTTACCATCTGAGCCGCCAGGGGAGCCCTCAACTAGAAATATGCTTGTCCTTATTTGATGTTTTGGGTTTTAAAAGGAATGAAATCAGAGAGAGATAAAAGAGGAAGAGCATGAAAAACGAATGAGTTACTACATATTTACATTTTCCTCAGGTAACAGGGGACACAAATTTAGATAGAAGAGGGTCAAACAGCTTGTTTTTAATTTTCAGCAAGCGACGAAAGCGAGCTAAGTGAGGTGGACAATTCTCCACCATGACCACTAGGTGGTGATGTTGGCCCAGAACAGTTGGGTTGCTTGTTCGGGTGGG